AGATGTGGTCGCTAAAGCTTTGTATCTTCTTGTAGCTCCTAATGCTTCCTTTGAGGGGAGACAGAAGGTGGTGACATTCAGTTTGGATACACTATGTATTCAGCTTTTACAGCTACAAACAACCTACCCAGTGAACAACCAGAGAAGAATTAAGCCCCAGACATTATTCCAAACAGGATATCACAAGACTTTCAAGTGCATAAAGACAAAAGCCTTACTCTTGTCACTGTTGCCCAAAATAGAAGTGAGACATAGGAGAAGTAGATGCCTCTGAAAGTTAAGGCTTCTGAAAAAGCAACCCAAATATTGATTCAGAAAGATCATCTCTATCACAGCAAAAGTGAGGTATGCCAAAGAAGTAGCTAGGGCCAAGAAATTTTAAAGCATTACCTTCCACTAGTCTTCTGGCAGAGGCCAGCATCAAGGCCATTCCTATGTCTGCTGTTGGGTCTGCCACGGCGTTTGGGGTGTTGGTCACTTTTACACCAAAGCTTGAGATCATTTTCAAGTCTAAGTGATCCACTCCAACCCCAGAGTTTCCAATTACTTTTAAATTAGGCAGGCTTTCTAGAAGCTCACGATCAATAGTTGGCCTGCACTCAAACACAAAAACAGATTGGATTTTTTTGCTCATTTCTTCTTTGTTTCCAAGAAATTCCTTCATGGTGATAAGGTGAAAGTGTTTCTTCAGAAGTGCTGCAAGGTCTTCTAGCACGCCATGAGTTCCTCCAACATCCAGAATCAAAACACCCGGCAACTCTCCTTGTGCCATGACCTGCAACAGGGGAATAGAAGAAATGTTCCTTTGTTTAGGAAAACACTCTGAAACGAGACATGATGTTCCTTTAAAAGTTATCATTCCTATCACAGTCACTTGGTACTAGTGTGGTATGTCAGACAACTTCCAAGTACTTTTACCAAGTGCTGATTTAGACTATAACACCAAAGAATATCCACACTCTGACATCTAAATCCATTACCACAAGCTGTTCTTCTCAAAGAGTTTGATTTTAATCCAGAATCAATATGATTTCATACAAAACCAGTAACTTTTCTGGTAGCTTACTCACCAACGCCTTTCTATAAGCAGTGCTATGAAACAGAGACTGCTAGAAATTTACTTAAACTTCTTGCCTGTTGGTTATGGTTGGTGAAGCCACAGGCAATGTAGGGTGGCACTGAGGCCCAGGTGGGTCTGACAAATATCTGTCAGGGATGGTTTAGGTCTAACAAATTTGCATGATGAAGGGCCATCCTTGGATAGCTGTTAGACTGCTTGCTTTCAGTGTTTTAAATGTTCAGATCTGTACCTGAACTTACCTCATGCAAAATTTAGCCCACCCATGCCTATATGCTGAATCAGTGAGCACTAGAGGTGATACCACTGATAACAGCCCTTTGTGTGAGAACTTTCCTCTGCCCTGAGAGTTTTGAGCCCAGACCTCTCTACAGCACTCCTGCAAGTGCACTCTGCAATAAGATAGGGGCTCCACATACAACCAAACACCTAATTACGAGTTCCTGTTGGCAAAAATGGTAGTTGAAAATTTCCTGAATATCTTAACAATAGCTGTACCTAATTTCCTACAATTCTTTTCGCTGTGCTCCACTGACTTTCAGTCTCCATCCCATTCTACGTCCTAGAATTGAGTACAGGGAACCTGATGTTGTGCTACCTGAATCACAACAATTTTCCACAGCAGTATGCTGATTTATTCTGGCACACGGTGCTGGACAGAGTGTCCTGCTGCTTCACACCTCTCACAAAAGCCTTCTGTGAGTAATCAGAACTCCAATCTGTGACTAAAGGGTGTCAATGTAGATTGGAAGTTTTTGTCAACCATATTTACTCTTGTTCTGAGCAAACTCAGACTTATCCCAACCATGTCTATTAAATGGTTATAATCTCAGCACCAGTACTGCTGTTTTATCCTGGCCTTGATGTGCACTTCTGCCTCAGTTTCAGTCTGCTGCTGTACGTGGGCTTGAAGGGGCCTCCATGCTAGAACAGGTCTGCAGTTCACCACAATGTCTCTGATAATACTATCTGGCTCTCAGAAGCAGCAAACAAAGCAATGAGATGAACTCTGCAACCAAATTGCAAAGTAAGACAGTGCTTTTATATACCTCTCATCTTTTTTTTTGCCAGCTGAAGTTGTCAGCCCCGTGTGGCTGTCAAAACTGTGCAAATTTCCCAAAGAAAGCAAAGGTGCCTGCATTTCTAAAGAGTATCACTCAACATTACGAGGATAAACTAGATTTGTGTTTCAGAATGAATGATGCACAGAATAAAAGAGGAGTTGATGTCATATTGTGATGGCATTGTCCAGCTTTATGGCAATCCTGGATGGCAGCTAAACCTTATGCTATTAACCAGGGAAAACTGGGCACCAGAATGATCAAGTGACTGGCAAATGCCAGTGATGCAGCACTGTATTACTCCATTTACTTTCATCACCACCTCCTACCCCATTACAATACACCACACATGGTGGGCAGAGACAGACTTGCTTTCACTTTGGAAGCACTTCCTACACTTCACAAGCAGAAAGGTGACCCATGAGGAAGCCTCTAGCTATAAACAAACCAGCTGGTGCACTAGAAACAGGCTAGTGGCATGTTGATGGATCTTTTAATGAGTGTGGGCATGTTGAGCCTGCCACCATTCCAGCCATGTTTGATGCACACAGGACCCATTCATTGCCTGCAGCATTGGTCCAACAACTGGTGTTCTGCTCGTCCCAGGTACAATCTTAAAAAGTCACATTGATAGCAGGAAACTAAAAACACTTAAAGGAACCTCACAGAAGGAAGGGGGCTCTCCAGATACCAACCTTGGTCCCAGCACTTATTGTTCGTCTTCCAGCACTATGTGGGCGTGTCCTGTACCACTGTTTGTAAACCACACTTCTGTGACAGCGATGTCCATGACAAGCAATAACTGGATGAATAAATTTGTAAGCCAAATTTGACTGGCCAGACATCAAGGGAATTAGTTTCAACAGGCTCAATGCTTTGCTCCTGAACATAATTATTCAGTTATCAGATGTCTTGTCCAGTGCACTAAATGCAATACCTGTCAAGGATATGACAATTTTGGTTTTGGTATCATCTGCAGTATCACTAAGTTCCTTCTTCTTTACTAAGTTGTCTCTTCTCCTTTTGTATTTACATAAGGCTATATGCTTCCATGTAGGCAGACAGTCATAATCATACGTAAATCATTGATATAAGGTACGTGTACTAAGTTCTGGTCCTGGCACTGCAGAGAAATCTTAAATAAACCTACGTAATTTTTCCTAGCTCAGTTTTCACTTAAAGTTAACAGGATCGTCATACAGGATCAATTCCTCCCACAAACTTCTCTAATGAACAAGACTAATTAACTGAACAACAACCAGATCGCTAACCAGGGCTGGTGTCTTTCTGAGGACGTGCCCTTCAGAGCTCGATCCCGCGGCGGCTGGAAGCTGCAGGGAGCTCCCGGCTGCTGCCCGCGGCTGGGCACACCCGCTCCTGCCCAGCCCCGCTCCTGCCCAGCCCCGCTCCGGCCCAGCCCCGCTCCGGCCCAGCCCCGCTCGCTTAACCCTGCCCTGCCCGGCCACCGCCGGCTCCAGGGAAGCTCCGGCACGGCGATCACCGCCCTCGCTGCCTCTGCTCTTGCCTCCAGTCAGACCGGGCTGCCTCTCCTTCCTCGCTTCCCCTCCTCCTCCTCCTCCTCCTCCCGCCGCCGGATGTCCTAAATAGGCCAGAAAGCAAAACGAGGACCTGCATAGGTTTTGGAGAGCTCAGCAATTGTGGGGCAAAGTTATTTGCCACAAATTGGTATTGTTCCCCACAGCCCAAGCTGCAGCTTGCGTGGAATTTTTATAGTGGAAACGATGCTTTTCTCCCTGCCTGCGGCAAGCTAACTTTTTAAATGAGTGCCTACTGTGGAATTAAGGAAACAGATTGGTCTGGGATGGCCTATGCCAGTGGCTCCATTCTGGAGCCCAGTGCTGGAAGGTGCTGGTTTCACTGCTGACCACTTCCACTGGAACGTTTTCCCAGAGATTTTGATCCCCAGAGCGATGGGAGAGCTCCCGGAGCCCCAGTGCGACTCTGGGAGCGGCTGGGCAGCGCAGCTGCCACGGCAGGGGCGGGGCTGGGGCATGAAAATGGTCATTGCTGCTGGTGAATAGACTGAAAAAACCTCCCACAACCAGGAGATCCAATGGCACAGAATCACAGAATGGCTGGGCTGGAAGGGACCTTAAAGATCAGCTGGACCCAGCCCCTCTGCCATGGGCAGGGACACCTTCCGCTATCGCAGGTTGCTCAGAGCCCTGTCCAACCTGGCCTTGAACTCTTCCAGGAATGCGGCATGCACAGCTTCTCTGAGCGTATCTCCTCAATCAAATCCCATGGAGCTCCGGGGACTGTACTAACATGGAGAGGTCAGCAGCAGAGTCTGGGGCTCTGATCACCTCTGGTTCGCCCTCCCCGTGCTAGCCGGCATCGCCGATCCCCACGGCGCGGCTCCACATCCCACCTGCGAGGCGGGACGCGGCTGTCCCCGGCCAGCGGCACCACTCGCTGCCCTCCCGTGGGGGTTTCCCGGGCGGCGGGATCTCCTCCCGTCGGGAATCGCGGCTGTCCCGCCCCGCCCCGCCCCGCCCCGCCCCGTGCCGTACCGGAAGTGTGCCGCTCCCCGCGCGCGCGCTCCCGTGCCCGCCCTTCCGCTTCCCGCCCGTGCCGGCGCTGCCGCCGCTCCGTGTCTCTGAGGGAAGGACGCCCGCGGGGTGCGCTGGGGACGGGCCGCGGCGGGATGGGCGGGCCGCGGCGGCTCTCGGTGCCCGGGGAGGGGGCGGGCGGGGTGAGGGCAGGCAGGGCGGGCTGTCAGCTCCAGCGGCATCCCTGTCGTCCCGCAGGCTCGCCAGCCGGCCGCCAGGATGTCGTACATGCTGCCGCACTTGCACAATGGGTGGCAGGTGGACCAGGCCATCCTGTCGGAGGAGGACCGGGTTGTGGTCATCCGCTTCGGGCACGACTGGGACCCCACGTGCATGAAGATGGATGAGGTCCTGTACAGCATCGCCGAGAAGGTAAACGGGAGCTTTCTGCTCGTTCTGAGCTCAGTGTTCCCCATGGCTTGCTTGCAGCCTGGGGCTGCTTATAACGGGTTCTGCACAGCTATCCCAGCTTTAGGAGGCTTTAGGGAAAGCTGTGTGGTTTCACGAGTGTCTCCTAAAGACTGCCCTGGTATTTGCAGTATTCTGCGGGCTGAGACGAGCATCGCAGATGTTCGGAAATCGAGGTTGCTGCCTGTTAATAGCCCGTCACTGAATGAGCATCGGCATTCAGGCAGAAACAATGCTCGGTGGTGGGGCTGCTGCTGCTCCGGGTAGCGCAGCACTCTCACTTTACGATGGAAGTGTGTGGTACTTTCAGGTTTCCATCTGAATAACTTGAAAAGTTACCTTCGTTTCGGCTCTTAAAAATGGTGAGGCGCGAAACGTGCGGGATGGTGTTGATTAATCTGTTATTTATATAATCCTGATTAATTTATTAGCGATATTAATCTGTCATTAATGTGTGGAGACCAATAGCATTCCACTGAGTTGCATGGACTGAATTAAATTTTAAGAGCCGAACTCCGCAGCTGTATTCAGATGGAAACTGAATGATTATCAGCAGCTGGTCACTTGCTTAAGAAAGATGCATAGATAGGAAAAATTAGACTGTTAGATTACACAATCAGCTATAATTTACCTTTTCACATATTTGCTAAAGGTTTTGTGAAGTGATAGATGTAGAATATTGACAGCTCTTTATCTGAACCACATGAAGAAAGAAGCAAAAAAATCTGAATCAGAAATGATAACTTGGGTAGGAAAAAGTGCCAAGTATCACAGAAATCATAGAATGGTTTGGGTTGGAGGAGACCTTAAAGATCACCTCATTCCAACTCTCGTGCTGTGTCTTACACTAGATCAGGTTACTCAGGGCCCCATCCAACCTGGCCTTGAACACTGCCAGAAATGGGGCATCCACAGCTTCACTGCCTTCGTACAAAATTCTGTGCATGCTGCATAGTTTGACATGGAGTTGTTTTTGTGGTTTACTTTGTTTTCTGAAGTTTTTTTAAAATAACTTGTGTCTTGAAAATCCCCATGATTAAATATCTGTACCTGCAGCCAGGGGTTGAGATGTATTAGAATGCAGTAAAGAGTTTTGACGTGTTTTAATTCAGTTGTTTTGTGCTCAGCCTGGTGGGAGTGTTATGCTCAGATACTGTTAGTGCGGACTTGTGGCAGGATGCTTGGCAATTCGGCAGACCTGCCAGCAGCTAGGGGTGACTGGGGGAAGAAAGAACAAAGTAACTTCTTATTTAAAAATCTCCCTCTGCAGAAATGGCAAATTAAAGGGGGAGATCCTACCTCATCCTCTTGTTTACAAGCCATGTTTGGATCTCTGCTGTTTTAAAGAGTGAGTAAAAGTTCCAATTGTCCAGGTGTTTATTCTAGACAATAATACAGAACGTTAATGTGCTATAATTGCAGGCTACGTTTGAAGACAATGTGGCCGTATTTTACATTTGTTACCTTGGTGCAATATTATTTTAGACTGCAGCATGTTTTTGGGTAGCAGTAGTGTTTATCAGTACTTTATGATAGGAGAACAGGGTTTTTTTTTCAGTTTGAATCCTTTTGTGGAAAAATAAACTAGAATGCTATATGAAAGTACAAAGTAGATTATTTTCACTGAAATATACTTCACTTACAGTTGACTGGGTTTTTTCCCCTAGTGTTACATGAAAAAGAAGCAAAATTTCACTGAATGTCAAAAAAAATTGTAATTCTGAGATGTTAGATTTTTTTTTTTTTGCTTTGTCAGGATTTTCAACATTGATTGAAACAAGAATTGAGTTTCATAAATTTTGTCTTAAGGACCTTTTCCAAAAATACACTTCTTTTCTTTAAAGAAAACTCATAATTATAAGAGCTTATCCCCTGAAATACAGGGATTGGTTTGCTAAATTAATACACCTTGTTTAAGAAATTATTTATCTATGACTGAATAGTATAAATCAGGTAATTGTTGTATTGGATCACTGTGTTCTTAGTGAAGATTTTTCAAATGTTGTGCATTTACTTAACCACAATCAGAAGTGTGAATAGCTGTGGCTTTTCCTCAAACATTAGTTGTGCTTCTGCATTTCTGCTAAGGGTACATGAAAAGTGGGAGAGGAAAAGAGGATGGGGCAGAGAAAGAGGTAGCTATTAAAAAAAACATATAGTTAATACAGCTACTGGTGTTTGTAATTAAAAGCAAAGTTAATCCATTTACTGATGTCTGTAGTTTTCAAAATCATTAGCTGTAAGCGCTCCTCTTGGCAGTATAACGTCTTTCTCTTTTCCCCTAGAAATTTTTCACCTAAACTGACAGCATAATTAGCAAGAAGAAAAAATCAAATAAATATTGCCAGTGCAGACTTTCAGGTTTGTACTTGCTCTGTTCAGAAATGCAAGTCTGCCAGCCACCTTCAATTTGAGTAATTTGTTGCAAAAGCTAGTCTCAGTTCCTGTATTTTTTCCTGTGAGTTTCTTGTCCATAAAGTAGAATTCTGTTCTTCTAAACACTGTCTAGAAACTGGTTAGAAAGATGAGAAGATGGAATCTTGGATCTTGTTTCAGATTTCCTTAGATATTTGGGCTGTAAGGGTTGCTTTTCAGAGGCAGCTGAAATCTTAACAACTGAAAAAAAGGGGTATTACCTCTGACAGAAATTTCAAGAAACTTCATGACTGTAGTCATTCATCCTAGTCATTAATCATATTTCTGTGTCAATCTCATGTTGTAGGAATTAATTTACTTATTTTTTAGAAGGGTAATGTTAATAAAGAAAGTCAGGGAGGATAACTTCAGAGGACAAATGAGTCCCGTGGCATATGATCTTTTCCTATATCTGTGTTTCCTGTTTACTAGCAAAATGTGTGAACTTCATGGAGACAGGATACAGAATCTTTATCTGATGTTAAAAGTCCTATAGATTCTTCTGCTTTATAGTCTTGAGCCATTCAGTTTAAATATTTCATGGCAATCCTCAGGCAGATACAGTTCTGTGAAGTATTAAGACAGCCTGTACCTGTGGCCAGGCAGTAATGTACTTCTTCAGGCATATTCAGCAGTGTAGATTGGTTAGACTGATTTTTGAAGCTACCATCATTGGGGAAAAGGGGGAAAACAACCACCAAAATTGAAGCCCAGCCTTTGAAAGCAAGTCATAAAATTCTGAATTCATGCTGCTGTTTGACTTAGGTTTTCTACTCTATCCTGTTCCCATGAACAGCAGCTCCAATGGCCTAGTAAGGCAGAGAAAGTTTTGAGTTGACAGATAAGGGAAGTCAGGAGTGTCAGAAATAGTTAATATCTGTCTCTGAAAATGCTTTTATCTTCAGTTGTTGCACAAGTTAGGTGTTGCCCAGAAGGAGGTCTCTTACTAGAGTTTTGATTTTGTTTTTCTTCAGAAAGCAGTTGACTTACTACAACACATTTACTGTATTTAGTGTACGTTATGAGGATAAGCACTTTCAGAATAAACTTGTTATTATGTGTTCAGCTTCTAAAATAGAAGGTTTTTTTCATCGTCTCTACAGTAAATTTCTGTTTATATGAGCAAACTTAGTGTAGTCTCCTTTGTAACTACTGCAACTGCTTGTATTTAGTGGGGTTTGCTTGTTTAGAGTTGCATTTTATTCTAGTTCTGAGGTGTCCATACTGTATCCTCAGTTACAACCTACAAGTCAGAAAGAAAACTTGTTAGCAACCACTGCCTTGACATGGTAGCAAAGCTGATTTTGTACAGGAATGTAGGTTTTCAGCTGACAGCTCTGAGCAATGGATTCACCTCCCAACAGGGAGAGGTCAACCTTTGGCTTGTCTTCACAAGCCATGCACATCCACAGCAGTCTGAATCCACGAATACTTCCATTGCTTTTGCTTAAATCAAAGCCTGAGCTAAAGCTTTGTGAATTAGAGCTGGCTGTGTGTGAAGCCGGCTCAGATGCTGCTCTGTACTGCTGCTGTCTTGGCTCCAATATTGCGTCTGAGACAGGAGCTGCTCCTTCAGGCTCTAAAACTGGTCGATAACTGTGCAAAAAGAGAGTCTCTGCAAGGTTTGTCTCATGTTGAAATAAAATGCCTCTTGGTGACAAGCTTGCCCAGCCTGGCACATTAAATTTCCCAGCCCCTAAACATTAAATAGGCCACTGCAGTTCTTCTGCATCACCCTCTCCATGTCTATGTCTCTCATATCTAGTCCCTCCTCAGGCCTGAATCCCAATCTCCTGTTGCTATCCTTGGCAGCCAGTGTCCAAACTCAACAAAGCACACCCTCATTCAATGTGCTTGTGAGCCAACTCATTTTGGAGTGTCAATCTTGCCAAATTTGAAATTAGAAAAGCAAGGGGTAAAGAATAGAGCCACTTTTAAAGTTTTGATTTCAAATTTAAGTCCAGCTTTACGGTCTCCTTTAGACTTAATATGAGCTTTTAAGCAGGCGACTGTCATCAGTTTCACTTCTATAAAAGTAGGTCAGAGAGAAGGAAGATTTAATGAATGTCTTGCATACTTGGATTCTGGTGATGACTTGCACATGGGCTGTGCAAAGATGATTTGAGTGATCCAGTCCTTTTTAGTAAGATTTATATAACAAATTAAGACTTTTATAGTCTGTTTCTCATGTATGAAATCCTAGGCTGTTGATGATCACTGCTAGTGACAAGCATTTCTGGTTCTGCAACAGCTCAACTAAATTAAATGCATATAATGTCAAACTAACTTTAAAAGGGTTTTTATTCCAGTACTACCTGGAGTACAGAGTTCTTGGAAGTAAAATTTTGGTTTAGGAGTGCTTTTGGAGTGGTATTCTGGTGCAACATGTAAATCTTGAACTAATCTTTCACCAAACAAAACAGGTCCTAAGAGTGTTTTATTAATTCTAGGTTTACATTAGAATAATTTTCCAACCTCCAAATGAAGTAATTGTTTAAAGATGTTGTACTCTGTCAAAATTGCTGAATGTGTTGTAGAAATTTCCCCACATGGTGAAGGTGTGCTGCTGATGCTAAAAATGCCAGCAGGGTGGAAGAAGTAATAATAGGATAAAATAAAAATGGCTCCTCGGGTGTTTTGTTTTCTAAAAAAAGGACCAAAACCCCCACAATTATCTTTTGCCTGCCAGGGCTCACCAGGGAGTAGCTTCAGTCACTTCTGGGCTTAATTGTGTTGACTCTGAACATCCCATTAAAGTTCTTAGAAGTCTTTAATGTAAAATTGAAATGGGTGTGAAGGATCCCTTCAGAGGCTTTGATAGTATGACTGTTTCAGTTTACAAGGCTTTACCTCTTGCCTAATTTAGAACATGGCTTAAATGGGACATTTTCATTAGAATATTGACTGAATCTAGGACTATAACTGGCTCCATAAAAGCACAGTAAAATTTTTAAATGCTGTTTCACTCCAGAAGAGATTTTATTTTCTTTGCTAGTAATACTTACTTACATTCTTGAAGTGTGATTATTTTTTATAATTTTGAAACTGTCTTGAAGCAGAAGTCCATAAAAAATTATTTACTCTGTGCTTCTGAGGGTTTTTTTGGTAAATAAACATCTTCGTACTTTCTCAGTAAAGTGCTTGCTAGGATGTTTATGTACAGGCTACGCAATGTATCATATTTTTCTCATATAAACTAATCCTGCTCTGTGAACTAAAAAAAAATATTGTTCCATCAGGCAGATATTATACTCATCATAGCATTTCCAGACTTATGATAGCAAAATTAACATGTAGGAAGTACTGTCATGAGCAGTGAGTTTGTCATAGGTTTTAGACCATGTGTGTTAACCTCAGGCTGGTAATTCTGGGCAGTCAAATGGGAGGGACCAAAATTGTGTTAGCAGGTAACTGAGGATGGGGAGGCACAATTGTGCACTCCTGGTGAACTGCATGAGCATTTGATAATATACCTTACAGTTGAATGCTTGTGCAATTTGTATGACTTCTGACTTAAAATGTAATGTGTGTGCGTGTGTTAATTTCTGCTGTGTACTTAGGAGCTGTGTTTAGAAACCAAAACTTCCCCTGATTCCACTTAATGACAAGTATTCAACATCTGGGGAAACAAAAATGTGACCTGGTTTTCTTGCAGGAATGAAGGCATTGACTGTGACACTAGAGGGGAGGGATTCTTTTGCATCTGAGTAACTGCAAAATGAAAGCCAGTTTTACCAGAATTGTCCAGACAATAGCATCTCATCAAGATCTTTATTTCTTTAGCAATTACACTTTTAAGTTTTAGCTTTGCACCTCTCAAAGAAAGCTACCAGTTTTTAAATTAAATTATAAGTTTCCTTTTCATTTAATGAGTCTTGTTAGATAAATTGGATGTTATAGAGGGAAAAAATGCTTGGAGGCAGGCACCAGGGCGTTGTAGATCATTCATTTTCTGAAGTCCATAAGCAGCTGATGGCAGAGGCAAAATGTGTCGACTTGGCTTGCACAAAGCAGTTATTCTACTTGTTTAGAGCTGTGCATGTTACTGTGAGTTCTCAGTATTATATAAAGGGCATTTGTTCCTTTGGATGTTGATTTAGCATAGTATCTTTCCTGTTGACACTGGTTGTGAAATAAGCTTCTTGGCTATATTGAAAAATATTTTCTATGTTAACTGGTTATTGTGGTTAACAATAAAAGCAAGGCTGTTTATTCTGATTTTATGACTTAATAATTTGGAAAAAAAACCTTATAATAATGAAAGCTTATGTCTTTTAGTTGGTAATACATACTGCTTTTGTATTTCCTGTTTTCTTCTGTTTAGGTTAAAAACTTTGCTGTTATTTATCTTGTGGACATCACAGAAGTACCAGACTTCAACAAGATGTACGAGTTGTATGATCCGTGTACCGTCATGTTTTTCTTCAGGTAAGTGATAGTTCTGGAATGTAAACTTCCATTTAAACTTCCTGTTTCTCAAATACAGTGTCTCAGCAGATAGTTTCCAAATGCATAGGAGCACACTGATGCCTGTGTTTTCATTGCTCTACAGAAGAGTAAACTGATTATATAGGAAAGTGGCTTATTTTCCAATTAGCCTGGTAAGAGTGTTTGATAATAGAGGGCAAATTAGTGATAGTGAAAACTATGGTTTTCACTAACCAAAAATGTTTTATTATCCATTGTTCATAGTTTTAAATCTCAAACTTCCTGTAGAGAATGCTGTAGTAATACAGCAGTCAAGCTTGCCAGACTTGCTTTCAAGACAAATCAAAAATAATAAGGTTTTTTTAGAGTTAAGGTTTCTATATTGATGAGGTTAAATGTTCTACTGACAAGCATGGAATTCTCTCTGGATATAGACAGTGGTGTCAAAGAAATACAAATAATAAGGAATATGCTGAAGGATAATTGCACTGAGTAGCCATTTTGGAGGAAAGTTTGGAGTCCTTATTCTTGCTTTAAAAATTGGCAATAAAATGTCAGCTTGAGTGAGAGGAGGGGATATTCTTCCTTTAATGCTTGTTTTGCAAGCCTGGTTATGTTACAAGGGCTTCCTCTGATCCTACAAAGCACTGGGGGGGGTGTTATAAGATTTCTTTCAGAATTGGAATACCGTATTAACTTGTGTTTTTGTTCTTCCTCTTTAAAGGAACAAACACATCATGATTGATTTAGGTACAGGTAATAACAACAAGATCAACTGGGCAATGGAAGATAAGCAGGAGATGATTGACATTATAGAAACTGTTTATAGAGGAGCCCGCAAAGGTCGAGGTTTGGTGGTATCGCCGAAAGATTATTCCACTAAATACAGATATTGATGTTTCTTTGGGCTGCCTTTTTTCATAATCCTATGTCCACTTAAATTTATTTCTGTGTATGTGTGTACATATATGTATATTAAAAGAAAAAAAACCTACAAGTCCTTGAATTTTGAGCATAATTTAAATTATTTAAAAGATTTTAATTCTGTTTGAGAAGTAGAAGCCTCAAACCCTGAAACTGTCTTGGCTGCAGTAATATTGTAGCTGAATTTTGGGGTTTTCTTTTTTAAAGACTTTCTCCTTTGTTGTCCTCTTGGTATTACATAATTTTGTATACAAAAAGCCTGTTTGCAGAAAAATATTTCAACTGGTTTTGTTTGCCTTTATTACACAAATATCTGAGAAAACTATATTATAGTTGTTTTTTGAAAAAAAGAATAAAGCTGAGTTGCACTCAAGTTTTTTCAGTTACAAGACAAAGAATTTACTTCTATTACCAAGTGTGTTGTAGAGGATTTAGAAAGTGTGAAGGAAGTAAAACAAAAGGGTCTCATTTTCTGCTCAAGTTAATCTGGGAGCGTTTTTTTTGGTTTTTTTTTTTCTGGTTTAATTGATTTTGGAATAATTTATGTTGGAAGGGACCATTAGCCTCCCAGTCATAGTAGGTTCCACATGGTCAGGTTGCCCAGGATTGTGTCTAGTGTTGAGTATCTTGTTTGAACTAGATGACCTTCAAGGTGTCATCCATCCTAGATGATTCCACATTCCCTAAGGATGGAGGTTCCTCAGCCTTTTTGGACGGTCTGCTGTTTGAGCACCTTCATAGTTGAAAAAGGTGTTCCCTGCATCTAGCTGGTGTTTTCTGTGTTTCAGCTTGTGTCGAGTAACCCTGGTGTACAACATCTCCAACAAGTGTCTGTTCCCCGTGCTCTGCCACAGGATGGTGGTTGGCAGCAAGAAGCCATGGCTGTTTCTTAAGGCCGGACTAACAGATTTCTCCCAAACCTTGTATTTGCTGTATTCCACTATATCTTGGTGGTTGTGTTTTACCTCCCTGTCACCACTGCATCTCTTGCACTGGGGAGCCCCCAAACTGACAGAATATTGTGGGTGTGGTGTCCCAGCGAGGTGAAAAACTTGCTGGCCCTATTGTGCTAACACTGACCAGTGAGTTGCTGCAGCCTGGGCACCGTGCCTACTCAGTCAGCCTTTCCACCAGACCCCTTTCCTGCAGAGCAGTGCCAGCCAGCCCCTCACACCTGCCCAGCTTGGCATTTTGAACTTCATCAAGGTCCTGCTGGCCCATTTCTCTAGCCTGTCCTCCAGCATACTAATCTCTCCCCCAGTCTGACAGTACGTGCATGTCTACACTGATTAAAGCAGTAATTGGAATGATTTTTTTATATTAATGAAGTCTGTAATAGAAGGATTTCTCCCTCATTAGCTGAGGCATTCTGTGAACCTGGCAATGCTTCAGTTTCTGCATTTATGGTAAAAGGTTCCCATTATATTTCAAACTAAATCTTCCCTGCAAAGAGTACCAATGCTTTGGTGTACAACCACTTTAAAGTTAGTGCAGATGTCCTTTTTTCCAGCTACCAATTTCTTCTTCTGGACATGCTTGGTAACTAGAATTCCTCATCTATTTCCAGGTCTTTAAATAAAATAAACTGTTTTCATCAAAACAGGTAACATTAAAGAACTGAAATGGTCACAGTATAAATACCTGGGTGATGTTACCTGCACTGGTGTGCACAGCTGTGGCTGGGCTTGTGCAAAGAGCAAAAACTAAGCAGTTGTAGCCTACAAATATTGTCATCTTTTTAATACAGAATGGTTTATTCTAAGAACATACAAGCTAAAAAGGCAACAAATATTATTTTAATATTAAAATAAATACATTTTCATACATTGAAAACATTTGTGATTGGGTAAGTTCACTATATAGGATATAGTTTTCTATGCAAAATAGTGGCTTTGCCTTCTCTGGAACTAACAGTTCTTTATCAGCTCCAGGAAATACAGTGCCCCATTTAGATGAACAAACACAGCTTTCTATTTTTTTCCTGGAGAAATAGTTTAAAATCTTTTTTTCAAGGTTCTGTTATGACATGATGCAAACACATTTGTTTTCTCTTAACATTTTTTGTCAGTGTGACACTTGACTGTAGAATCTTAGAGTCAGTGCTGTGCTGTTCTCCCTTTAATCCTCCTCAAACACATCCTCATTTCAGTCCTGCAAAGATACAGTGAATAAGTAGGTTAGTGATTTATTCATGAATATGATTCAGCATGGAGATAGGAAGATCTCTGTACACTTAAATACATCTTTATTGTCTTTCTGCATTTCTGAAAATTATTGCGTACCTTGTGCAAAAGGCATCAGAATTAATAGATGCCTAAATTACTTCAGAATATTTACAGACATTCATGTCTTTCGCTGGGTAAGAAGTTCCAATGACAAGAATAATTGATGTGTCTCAATTTGAATCAGGAAATTGTGCAGCAACAGGAAGACACCATCACTTGCAGCCACAGAACACGGAAGCAGTGCTGCCTCAAATACTAAGAGCACAGAGTCAGGCATCCATCAGGGTGGCATTTGCAACAGATGGATATAAAATCCAGAACACAATCCTGAAATGTAGCGTAATTATAAAGTGATTGACTATAATTTACTGCTGTGTTTAGGGTGAGTGCATGTGAGAGCTGTGCTCCAAGCCACACTGGCAAGCTGTAGCAGGTTTAAAAGCAGAGGTAGATAAATTTACACCAGTGAGAATCCTCAACTAGGTTGGCATACCTGAGGGACAAGAATGGTGGGCAGGAGCACTTCAAGCCACACACATTTCACTAGGAATGGACAGCCTCGGCTCACACACTTGGGGTGAGTTAGCACTACCCCCTTGTATATGGCACTCAGGTGGAACAGAGGCAGCAAGAGACAGTTTTTCTTTTGCAAAAGTGGTTGCATGCTTTGGCTCTTGGCAGAAAAAAATTCCAAGGTATATTAAATATATTTTTAAAAACTACACTTTCAAATCCAAGAAAATGCAGGTATACTAAATATGTAAACACCATTACTCACCCATCACTCAAAACTAAGTGGAAATGTATAAAACACAGAAAAACTTAAGTAAGTGTCTTTACTCCCAACTCTTCATTGCTGTTTTCTACCCCAGCCTCTGTCATCAGGTCAGCAACACGCTTCTCAAGGTCATTGATGCGCTCGCCCATTTCTTCCAGTAAAAAGTTAAAGATAACTTATTTATCAATAAGAGTTCTACAATTTTACAGGTTTTTTTCTTCTGTAAGAAAAACAAAATGTGTTCCAGATGTGCCAGCCTTTTACTTGTTCAAGTTTAATGCAAGATGAAGCATGCACAAGATGGTATTGTTAGAACAGAATCCCACATCCTCTTAGGACAGATAAATAAGCCTTCAAATTCTTAGTATCAAAAGCCTTTGCAAATATTAGTCAATGAACTGTGTAAGAGATTGCTTTCTTTCTGAGGAACCATTTTAGGTGATACCATACCGTTAACCTACACAATCAGAATATGAGTGCTATACAAACATTGAGGAAGCAGCTGCTTCCCGGAAGGTCAAATTTCTGAAAAAAAAATTTAATAAATGCTTCAGAAAGCAGAGGTAGTTTCTCTAAGTACATGTAATGAGAAAGCTCAGAGCCCCTTCAGGTCTGATTTTCTCCTTTTGAGGCCTCACCTTGTCATGCTCGGGCCAACAGCTTTTAAACCGTGGCTTGTTCAAGTTGCGTTTTTGGAGACGGATGCTTTTTTAAATGCACCTCCAGAATCTTTACACATCGATGCTTATTTTACTTGAAATCCGTAATTGCTGCACAGAGATTACCTTGCTACTTGCAGTAAAACATTTTTTAGGATTTCTTTAGAAAAAGAGATATATAAACAGGCTTGGGGGGGGAAGTCAGGTGCCTTTACGTCATAGGTGTTTAGCCATGTCACTTACTCTACGCTAATTTGATGTTTAAGAAAGAAGCCCATCCCCTGTTAGAAGCAAGGACCCCGCCCGCACCCATCAGCGCGCAGGGGGCCCCAGCCACGGGGTCCGAAATCCAACCTCGGGTACCCCACGTTCCAAAGAGGATATTTCTCAGCGTTAACTTTTCCGTCAGAGCCTGAAAATTCTCCTGCAGCCGGCAGAGCAGATTTTCCGCCTGCGGGGAAGGGATGGAATTAAGCACAGGGGAAGGAAGCAGCAGGCGCCGGCCGTACAGGAGCCCCGCAGCCAGGCCACCCAGCCCGGCCCCGCTCCCCGCCCCGCTCACCAGCTCCGGCAGCTCCACGGCTCCCGGCGGCTCGGCGGCCGCCATCGGCTCAAGCTCCGGCTCCGGCCCCGGCTTCGGCCCCGGTTCTCCGCCCGCCTCCGCGGGCGGGGCGGGCAGCGAGCGCACGGCCCCGCCCGCAGCGCTCCGCAGGGAGCCGGGGAATCCTTAACTACCAATCCTTTATTTGCCGAAGAAATCATCATTCCGTACGGCAGTAACTAAATAAGGATTTAGAGGTTTGATCTTAAGAGGTCTTACTATATATATATATGTATATAACTTTTTATTCTGTTTTTTTAAGGTTTGCTTCCTTTTCCCCTGCGTAATTAGTTTTGTGAGATGGAGTGGTAAAAATACCGTGGTGATTGAAGTTCCTTGCACTGCAGTGTCGAGCGAGACAATACTAAAGGCATCAGGAAGAGTCGCACGGTGCATCTTGCAGCACCAGTATCTAGGTCATCCGTGGCTTTTGGGCTGCACAGCGTAAAAAGCTCCTGGTGCAGCTATTACAGAGGTGTCTTTCTTCTGGATGCTGGGAGTGTTGCCCGATGTAAATGAAGAGGTTTCCAGTTTACTGTGTATTGTTAGGAGCATATCACTGTTGGGCAATAAATTACCTTAGTCAATTACTTTGAGTAATTATATATGCTAGATACGCCAAATATGTGTCTTCATCCACAAGAAATTTCTGAGTTAGGAATGACTTCAGTTGCTGTAAGCCTACCACTTAGAATCTTCCTTAATAAACTTAATTGTTTTCCTTCTTGACCTTCCCCACCTCATTTGAGAGGGTGTGTTAATCTCTGAGGTGAAATTCTGGCAGCAAAGCCAACCTCCGAATTGCTACCTGCTTCCCATAATTGTGGCTTCTCTGTACAGCCTTATCTTCCCACTCTTTCAGGTTGCCCTTGTACAAAGAAAAATCAAGCACATTTTGCAAAGCTTGAGTATTCTAGCAGTGTTACTGCTCTAGGAAGCTTCTACATCAAAGAATTTGAACAATATTATGCAATGTAGATAGGGTTTGCTTTTGTATGTAGCCATTAGCTTCAACAGTACAGCCTTTTTGTTCTGTTGCATAAGTAAAAAGGAACAACTGGTGCTTCTCACCTGTTTATTTGTCGATAATAAATCTTCTTTCCTTTAAGGCTAGGTAGCAGAGCTGTAGTATTTTTGCATTTTTACTTCTGATAACAGCCATAGTCTTCCTGGTTTTCCCTCCTTCCAGAAGCGCTACAAAAGCTTCTCTCTCACACAGCAGTATTTCCCCCCAGAGGCAGTTGAAGTGGCTCTGTCTGCTAGTGCCCAGTTATCTTGAACAAAGCCATAGAGT